AATTTATTGCTATCTTTTATTCTTTTTCCTTTTCCAACCCAATTACATTATAAATTAAAACTATGTATAGAAGCTCTATTTCCTACATCTTAAAAAGTACTATCATGAAATGAATGAAGTACTACATATTAAAATATTTATCCTTCTATAAAATTATTTAATGGGAAATTAAATTCTGAATGAAGATGCTATTATATTTTATATGCTGTCAAAACCTTAATTTTTAGTATATATCACTAGTAAGATCCTCAATATGAGCAAATCATCTTAATAAAACTATTTTTCATAGGTTTCATTGTTTATTCATAAAAGTGAAGATCTTAGTCTACAATATACAAATAAAATCACCTCCATCTACAGAAGATCACATCTTATATTCTGCATATTTTTATTCTTCATTCCTTTTTTTTTTTTTTTTATTCCTTAATAAGCATGTTTCCAATTAAATCAAATCTGAACCTATTCTATTTTAGGATAATCCAACCAGAAATATCAAGTATTAATCTCAATTAATCGCCCAAGGAGAACTGGAAAATATATTAAATTATACCTCTGTAGACACTAGTATTTTGACAAAAATGAATATTCCACATAGGCGTGTTAAAAATGTAAACTACTGGAATATTAGAATTTTAATGGGAGTGAGATTTCAGCTCTGGAAGATACACAACTACCCCATGACAAAACCTCCTGTCTCAAATTTCATAGAAAATCCTATGTCTGACCACAGAACATGTAGCACAAACAATGTTTTCTACTGCAAATTATTATGTGCAAAATATTTTGGAATATGCCTTATTTGCTTCTAGAAAATATTAATGAAAAAAATAAAAGGTCAGCTTCCAGTGATGAGGCATGTAATCCAGACAAGAGAGAATTCAGGAGGAATCCTCCCATTTTGTGCAGTGAGATTTAAATTTAACACTGTATTAGATAAAAGGAATTATGCCCAGGGCAAAATACCTTTGTACATGTGTGTGTAGCTGTGTGTGCAGCTGGGTGTGCGCACGTGTGTGTGTGCGTGTTTGAGGGTGGGTGATGGATGGGGAATGTGTGTATATATATGAACACACAACCATACATATATAAACACACATAAATATCATTATTAAGTATAAGAGGGTTAGCAAGCAGTACAAGTGAAATGAGACTGCCTTTCAGACAAGGCTAGTTCATTATTATTGGTGTTTTGTTTTATTATACTACCTGATACATTTTCATCAATATTGCTGGCAAAGTTCATATGCAAGAAAGGAACATTTTTCTTACTCCGATCAAAGATGCAATAATCAAATCATAAAACACAAAACCAATAGCCAATCAATGTGAATAAGTCTGCCCATAGGCTTAATTCAAGCAAGCCATTCACTGAGCTGTGTGATGGATCTCTCAAATCCCATAGAGCATTACAGACATACTAGCAACATCAAGTGAACATGCAATGACAAAATGACAATACACCCCACTGCCATGCTTTGACTTCTTTTACCTCACAAATACAAAACTTGATGACTTTGCTAGTTTCTCTTTAAACCTGGACAGAAATCTAACTATATTTTTATTTATATTTTTAAAAAAATTACATGAAAGGTGAATAAAAGCTATACAAACATCTTAGTGTCTTTTGTACATCCTTACAATTATTATTTGAAAACACTCTCAGTTTAAAGAGTTTGGCAGGCAAAGGTCCAGAATGGTAAAGAACGTATACAGAGCAGTAGGTCCTCTTTTATAATTTATAAAAATTGGAAAATTTATATGAAATACTTTAAATATTCAAAAGTTAAATATCATATCTTTGACCCACTTCTGCAAAGACACTCAAATCTAAGTGCAATTTAGTATGATGATAAATCACACTTTACAAAAATTCAATTGTAGATTTTTTTTAAGTTGTATTCAGTGATTATATTTCTTCAAAAATAAAATAAAATTTATAATTTGGTTTGCGCTTTTTTGTGTTTGTTTGTTTGTTTACATTTCTAAGAAATGACTGGAGATATCTGCAAGGTCTACCTCAGCTGTGAAACTGGTTTTAGGAGTACATGATTTTTCTTAACAAATACTTTGGGGTTTGCATTGATTTGTTTCATGATATTTCCTTGCCATCTGATTCTCCCCTATATATCTGTTCTTTGTCTTTTTTCCAGCAATATTTCCAGCTGTGACAAACAAGGATACCATTGCATTTCTTCACAATAGAGCTCTCTTACAGGGATCATTATCCATTGACTCGGTGTATTGATTCTGGAGTCCCAAATCTTTATGTTAACCTTTATTTTTAATTTACCAAAACATGTTTGCAATCTAAAGATTTCCCCTTTCTATCTCCTGACTTAAGCATATCAAATATGGAACACTGACATTCATCAGGTATATCAGCTGTGATTAAAAAAAAAAGCTTTTTTTTGAAGTAGTATTTCCATGATATGTCGCTGTTTCAATAGTACATACTGGTCCTCGCTTAACTTTTCTGGGCACCGTTTATGCATAAACTAAATATATTTCATGTGTAATTAAATTAAATAGGGGCTCAAATCAACACTAAATAAGAGGAGATATGGAATCTTCAATATTTTCAGAACACAGCAGATGATTATTACACTGAGAAGAAAAGATACAAGCAGTTGTACTGAACAATTTTTCAGCACTTTCAATATTAAAAATTCACAAAATTTTCTAAATTCAATTAATGAAAAAATGAATGAAAAGTTAAGCAGCAAATTGTAGTTGTGAGTAATTAGAGGTATCCATGTTTGCACATAGTTTCCCATATGCAAAGAAATGTTTGAGCAGATCGCTATTTGGTTTGTTCTCTATGCTAGTTTTAAGGTTCTCCCGTAAAGAAATTCAGTTACAGTATTTGTAATTAAGACGAGAAACCATATTCATTTGGGTGAAGCAGGTTGAAGATGAGGGTTAATCACATTTAAAAAGAGAAGCTAAATTTAAAAAAAAAATCCAGAAGATATAAAAATAATTTAAGATATTAAAAATTATCCAGCAAAGACAGGTTATTACAATTCTAATTATACACAAAGTGTATCTGAAAATTAGACACTTTTTCAAAAAAAATAATTAAGGGTTGTGACAACTGCGTTATTACTGATGCCATCTCAGGCTTCCTTTACAGCATTTCAAAACACTCTCTTCTTAAACAAATCCTTTACTTTTTTTTTTTTTTCAGCATAGTTCTTAGTAATGTTGACCCTTTACCCATACCAGAACATGTGACCAACTGATGTTTTATCTTACAACATTTGGTTTATTTTATGAGAAGGTACATTAATTCATAATTAAAGCATTGAAAAGTCATCTTGATATTGTTCAGTTTCTCTATGTAACATTTAGATTTTCAGAAATTCATTTATCCCTATGAATAAGCACCCTGCAAAATGATCCAGGGACTTCTGAATGATATCTGGCAGAAAGTGACTACCAGCATGAGGGTATTTATAATTTTGACCTTTTAGTTTACTAAGTTTTTTTGAGCAGGAATTGGTTTGCATTATAAGCTCACAGAAAAATACTAGAGCTGCGACATGCTAACACACCTTTGTGGAAATGAAATGAAACTATTGATTAGCATTTCACCTTTGTAGGTTACCCTCAGTAGAAATAATACATTGCCAACAAAGTGCATACGGCAGTATCTAATTGATATTACTGATCCAAAATTAATAAAAAGTAACTTGCTTACCTGTCTGACACAGCATGCCTCAGCCACACATGCAAATTATTTTATTCACATAACTTTAAAAAATTATCTTCATTACCCAGAATAAGCATTTGAAAGGCGAATATGCATGCATAGCATTTTAACATTCATACCATGGTACTTTATTCTAAAAATAGGGAATCCATGAACAGCACTTCAATCTAAGAAATAGTTCACTGAAATTTCTTAATCTGTTGATTTCTTTAAGAAACAGAAACATTTAAAACAATGTCTAATTTAGCATCTAAAGAAATTTTTGAATACATATTCAAGGCTTAAGAGGTTATCCCTATGATTCCAAGGGAAAATTTTCTTATAGTAGGAATTGAAAAGTGTGATCTTACTTCTCGCTGCCATTGTGAGGCAAAATACATGCATGTATCTGTCTTTCACAATATACATCCTCCCTTTATGACTACACTCTTCAAGTACTTGAAAAGTATTAAAGATGGCAAAAATTATGTTAAGGGCACAGTTTATGAAGAAAACATATTCTTTCTTTTCATGTCCACACACTGCAAAGACTTTAATTTTATGTAATTTTACAAAATCCTCTTCCTACCAAAGTCAATAGCAATTTAGACACTGACTTCAAAGGGGGCCCAATACATCTTGCAAGAAGACAAAATAATTTATGTGCCATCACTTTTAGTTTATAGAAGTTAAGTCTTCACATGTTTCTCTTATGCAGATTTTAATGGTCTTTTATTCCTGGTATTACTTCCACCAAATGTGGTTTACATTTCGAGGATAAAAATATGGAGCAAAAGAATAACTGAATTTTTTTTTCAGTACTTCAAAACAATCAAATGCCTGGAAAGAAAGCAAATGGAAAAAATATTGTTTTGGCTTGGATAGTTCAAGCTTAGACACAGTTTATTCTCAATTTCCACTGACTAAAACGATGTCAATGAGAATTGAGGGCACTCAATAAGTTCAGGTTCTAAATCAACTGAAATAATACTCCTAAGACGAATAATGATCTTTAGTAGCAGACCATCATGAAGCTGTACATATATTTATCTACATTGTACAAGGGTCACAGACATTAACTGGATGATCTACAGCTTGGCAATGTGCACATCTCATTCCTCATTCTCAATTAAGGCCTAAAATCTCTCTATTTATGGCTATTCATGGATTATAATAAAACAGCCTGCTTCAGATATCACAATTATCTGCAGAGCAACAAGACAGTTATGAGACTTCAACAAGGCAAATTTATAGAATCATCTTCAACTTCCACTGGTCAAATATTTATGAGCAATAAATGAGGTCTTACCTGTCACTGTAGGCAGCTGCAGTGGCAGTGGCAGGCTGGGCATACCGGTAGGCAGCATAACCACCCTGAAACACAAACTCATGCTCTAACTGGATTGCTACAGCTCCTTAAATAGCATTTGCAAAACTTAGCAACACCTGAAGTAGTACTGTAGTTCTGTACGTGCAGTTTAGGGGTTAAATACATATGAAATATTTCAGTGAATTGTTCAGTGAACTTGTTAACCACAAACCTGCACTTGTTTTGTCACAAAGATCAGGAGAAAGCCATGAAAAGTATTCATCAGTGTAAGGTTTTTTTACAAGACAATACTGTATTCTTCCACCAGTTTTCAAGTAGTGGTTGTTCTTATGAATGAGGTGTATCCATTTTAATAAAGCAATGTTGAACTTAAAAGAAAAACTCAGCTAATAATCAATTATTTTTTGTATAAAATATGATTTATCACTTCTGGTTGATTAAACCCATGAATTTGTGCACTCAATTAACACTTAATGTTACATAGGTTCCCAATTTATACATAAAATTATAATGAAGGAGCAAAATTCTCTTCTTCCATGAATTAACGTTCAGTTGTATGTAACAGTAATTGCAGCTGTTCAATTAAGCAAACAGAACAAACAAACACACATTTGAAAGGAACTGTGTGCAGTGAGGCATTCATTATCAAACTGTGAAAACAGCAGAGCTTCCTGTTCAATGGACCACGGTGTTATATCAACCATTTCAAAATGATCTCAGCATGCCAATTAACAAACAGAGGCCAGTCTCCACAGATAACACAAACACGATTTACGTCCCAATTAGAATTCACCACCCCATAATCCTCTGGGACAGGGGACTTTTGTATTTCCCTTCCCACCTTCCCCCACCTTAACAAAGAGTTGAATAAGAAAATATCAGATCACTAAGCTGTCAATAAAATTCACTCTTTGGCTAAAGCATTCACTGTAATTTATGGATTTTTTTCCTTTTGTGGGTTTTCTATTTTGATTTTACAAATAAAAATTCACTCTTCAGAAAAGCAATTTCATCTACTTTTACAAGCTACTTCTACTTCTTTGCTTGGTGGAATCACTTTCATCCCTAACGTGCTTAAACCTTTTCTGGATTGAAGATTTGAAGCAGGATGGTTTTGGAAATCAATCATTCAGCTGATAATGCCACCTCACCTTAAGAATAAACATGTGTTTTACATATCCTGACAGCTCATCAGAAACTCCAGGCTGTGAATTGTCAGCTTGCCTGAGGAACATTCTTTCTGTCTTTTTCAAGTGCCCACACAGAGAATAGGACCTTTACCTCCCCAACACTGGTCAGCTCCCTGCCAGCAGCAGTTGTGTCTCACTACCCCTGGAATAAGGCAAGTGCTTTCATAATGCCCTATGTGCCCTCTCGTCTGCAGCAAGCTGCTTCTCTGTGCCAGCACAGAAGCATTGAGATGAAATACTTTCTCATTTCAGATAATTTGATTTTTATAAACCAATAGAAGGCTATTACTGTCAAAAATGTATAATAGGCACATATTGCTTGCAGGTATGTGCATACAGGCAATCAGATGTCAAATAATGTCACCAAGTGCAAACTGAGCCAGTAAACAGTGAGGCTGAGGGATGATAATGCAAGCTGCACACTTGGTCTGGCTTCTACTACAAGGAGAAAGGTGAGAGATTATACAAATTTATCTGTTCTCCCCTCCTGGTTTTTGAGTGCTATATATAACTTTTCTTTTCTTTTTGTTCTTGTTTTTCTTTTCTTTCCCCTGAGTTCTGATATGAGGGAGTACAAATGGCCAAGGTATAAAGAAGATATTATTAAGCTTGTTTCTTGATCCAGTCCTGAAAACGTGTGGCAGACTGCAAGCCATTCACCAGGAGGGTATGATTCTGTTCACCACTTGTATGGCTCCTTTTACTGTCCTGTAGTGCACTTCTAAAACCCCTTATTTAAGTGTGAGAGACACTTCATTTCAATCTATGCACGTAATGCCTCCCATCATGGTACAGGATTGAGAATGGGCTATCACAAGAAGTAGCAAAAGTTTCCATGTTCTTAATCGGACAAATATGAGACAGGCTGTTCACACACTGACTGGTCTTAAATCTGCAGATGGTAGCCTCTGTGAGGATTGTATTTCTTTATTTAGCTATCACTAAAAATTGGTTAGTCTGTGAGGACAGACCCCTTCTTGCTCCCTAAATAGAAGATACACATTCCTTTTTTGTTTGCATTTTTATTTGCTTTCATCAAAGAATTACTGGTCAACAATGAAGCTCAACTCTGAACTTTATTAAGATGCTTTGGATTCAACAATCAGTATGAAATTTGAGAGTGTCCTGGAAAGACTGCCTCTAAAGCAATAAAAATGAAAGGAGATCAAAGTTATTGAATTTGCCTGAATTCTCTGGAGATCTAAAATGCAGGATGCATTTGCTTATCAGGAACTACTAGACCATGTCATGATTTCATATTTTTAAAACAAACTATTATATAATTACACACAGAAACATTCTTAAGCAAATAATTCTTATGGGGTTTGTGTTCTGTGGTTTTGGTGTGATACAATGCTTTCTTGTTGCTTTACTTCAATTACTTGAGGTTATTTATATTGCAACCAAAAAAACACACTTTGTATTGGGAATCAGGATGAGAATCTGATTCAAACTTCTGAACTCTCAACTTCTGCTTTATAATTTTTCTCTAATTTTGAACTTGGCTCATATTTTAGATGAAGAATACACTAGTAATATACACTGCATATACATATCTCAATAAATCAAATATTTATCTTCATGCCTCAGATTATGTTGCAAAATAAAATATTTACAGCAAAATTGTGTAATAATCACATAAAAATAAAGAACAACTTTCAGTTTTAATGTTTTATAAATGTTTCAAGAATGGGCTTTTTTTTGCCTAAGTACATTGAAACAGAAAGCACCCGACCATTACTTCTCAAATTATTATTTTGAAAATTCAGCTGAAATAATAAATTCAGCTACAATAATTTTTAAAAGTCTACTGCTTTATCTGTTCTCCTGTATTTCCTACTTCCACACAACAATGATAACACAATGTTACCACAGCTTGTCTTAAAAAATTAAGTAAAGAGTTAACATACTTGCAGTCCAAATATAGAAATATATCTCACTGGCATAAAATACAGAATGGGACACCCACAACAGTAACTGTTGTATTCCATTGGATATGAAGAATTTCTGTGATTTTATGATAGAATCTGGAAAATAAAATGCAACTGGCAGCCTATTGTTATCATTATTACACTCAGAATTAATTTTCTCACAATTATTTCAGTATTAGTATGATTTCACAGGTGTCTAAATTCAGCATAATGATTTTTTCCATCAGTCACTATGTCATACCTGTGATAATTTATTGCCATATAAAGGCTCTTGCAATACTGTTCTATAAGGAAACAGAAAGGTAATGATTTAAATGATTAAGGAAAGAAGGATGGAAAGAAGAAATTTAAACAAATTCTCCAAAGTCACTCATAAAAAATTTCCTTTCACTGTTTTATGTATATATCTGTGGCTCAGGAAAATTGAAAGAGAGCAGTGGGGTCCATGGAAGATCAGTAGCCAATTGCTACAGAGATATCTTAATCAATTTTACAAAGAAATCACAGCATATTTAGATAAGATATGATAAAATGGAAATGAACAGAAAATCAAATGCATCTAAATTTTTAAATAAAGTAAGAATAATTTCCACAAAAAATTATTTATATGAAATACACATCTATAGATTACAAACATGTATACACATGTGCACCTCCTCCTTTAAATCCCTATAACACTTTTTAAAATCTTGATTTCAGATGTACTGACAGTTTTTATTGTAGATACAGATAAATTAAGTGACTCTTAGATGATGGGTGTTTTTTCATTCATTTTCCTATTAGCAACATATTTAATATTCTATGTGAATGCTTCCTTTCACTCAAGGATCTCAAAGTATTTTGTGAACATAATCAAGGTACAAAACCTTCTCTAGTATTAAGAATTACACCTGCCTTATTAGTTGAAATGGGATTAAAAATGGCATGAGCTATGCTCAGCTCTGCAGAATATACAAAGTGGAAGTAGTAATTTCCCCTTCCTTCACTCATATGATAGTGAGTTTGAAACAGTATTTGCTCTCCTCGTGAAGTAAAACTTTGACTGGGAGAAGTAAAAATAAAATTTCCACCACTTTTTTGTGCCGGGTCAACTTCTGGCACAGGCCTATGTGAAAGTTTCATGTTATTTCTACATGGTGCTCCCAGAGGTATCTGTTGCCTCAGAGAAGCTTCTGGTAATATCTGCAAACTCACACCCCATGTAGTCATTCCAACCAAACACAATCGGCAGGAATGATCAAGCATTTGTATGAATTTAGTGAATTTGAATGTAGTCTTTATATCACAAATAAAGATCAGAGATATAAAAAGACATTTAATCACCAGATCTCAAAACTTTTAAAAAGGTATCATGGAGTGTTCCAGCATACAGAGCACTAGAAGGAGCAACCCACTGATCCTCAGGAACTCTTCTGCCCTTGGAAAAGGCAACTCTCCACTTTGCATTCTGTTTCTGTGAGTCACAGGAAATGACACATTCATCCATTTACAAACCACAAAAATCTTCAGCTTTTAAAAGAAAGATTTCAGTGCTCACTGCACATCCTTGCTTTCCACACTAGAACAGTGACTTTCAGGATATCTGATTTCATCAGTGGACTTCTACCTAGTATCACGGGAACAATGCTTAGATAATTACCTCTGCTTTTTGCTTGGGAAATACTACGAGCTCCACCCTCCACACCATCCTACCTTTGAGCTAAAGGGGATGGCAGTCACTATGGATCTCTATCCATACCCCTAATCACAAAGCATGCCTTGTTTTTGACAGGCAGCTCAAAAAAAAATTCAAACCCATGTAGTTATATGTTGGACTCTCACCAACGGCAGTATGACAGGTTCAGAATCCTGAGAACAGGTTAGAAAATCTTGCTGTGAGCAAAAAGACTGACTAATGCATATGGTTCAACCCTATTACCAAGGCACTTCTGAAGGTGATGTTTACAGAGGTTGGAAGCTTCTCATATTTCTTAGCCTTCCCACATTTTAGGTGTGGATTGAAGACTGACATGTTCTTAAAACAGTCTTCATGACAATGGTAAAAAACCAAAAACCAAACAGATTTTAGATAAAGCAGAGCATAGTGCAGAGCTATTATTCTAACTGCGTATTTCTGACTCTCTTACTATTTTTGCTTCATCTTGTGGAGTGTATTTTCTTATTTTCACAAGTGTCAATCTTCATCTAAGAACTTCTGTATTTGCTGGCAGGCAACCTTAATTCTCTTTTAATGACTTTTTCTCTTAGTGAATCAATACTTAATTTTAAAAGGTCTTCCTTACTTCCTAATCATCTCCTTTATTTTTCCTACTCAAGGCACATTTAAAAAGGAATTCAATAGGCTCAGCTATTTCAGAGGCATTATTACATTTCATATAGAACTATATGAAATATAGAATATATTATATTATATACATCTAGAATCATGGCTGTTGATTTTTCATTTTAGACTGTACTTTCCACCTATTTTTATATTCCTCTGGTTAGTATTAAGCAGTTCTGGCTCTCTGCTGTTCTTGCTTCACCCTGCAGTTTTCACCCAACCAGTATCTTTCTGTGTCTTCCCTCCTTCCATTTCACAAAATGTATCCACCAAAGGCTACACTGATAGCAAGTTATGAAAAGATTGGCATGGTCCACATTACTGTTGGTACTCAGTGTAATCATATCAGAATGAAACCCACTTTGATAAACTTGTTAATGTGTATTTTTCGCCTGCCTTTTCAGTACAGTGTTTTACTTTCTGTGGTACTTTTAAGGTTCCTTTCTCTTCAACCTACCATTACACTCTACATTGTTTAATTATTTTCCTCCTTTTTTAACAAAGCATTTGTTCTTTCACAAAGCTTCAGCTCTACACTTAAAACGGATGTCTGAGTAGAATCATGTCATAATCAATTGGGCTTTAATAAATAACTTGGTCCGCTGCAAACTAACACACTATGAACTAGTACACAATGAGTTTGTAAGGTTCCTTTTGATTTATACCAGTTCTCTATCTTTCTTACCCTCCTCTGCAAAATGTTTTATATACAAAAAGAAATGTGAAGAGAACTGAATTATAAAATACGAAGCTTTGTATATTAAAAAAGAAAAAAACCTCGAAACAAAATCAAACATTTAAAAAAAAAAAAATCTCCAGAGAGTGTTTTAATTCAGCTAGCTACTGTAATGGTAAATATTCTGCTGCATTAAGAGAACTAAGAAATGCCATCAGAAATACAAGGCTGCAACTGAGTGAAAACCAATGCACTAGTATAGTTACTCCATTTTCTAATGAACGTGACTAATCCACACATTAAAAGTTAGTAGTTTCTTCAGTAACTTCCTCACTGAAATCTCTTTCCATTTGGAAACAAAATGTTTAAATCCTTGAGAGGATGTGAGGCTCCCTAAACATAATATTGTCAATCACCAAACTGACAGGAGATATTCCTGTTTTTTAGAAACAGTGGGTTCCAAAACTATGAACTGTTAACTGATATTTGGTTCCCACCTCTATGATCACATTAAGCAACCCCAAGAATGATGACTTGTTGCCTTTCAGATTTTCAAGTTGGTAAACTGAGCAAAATGGATGTCACATTCTTTTGACAGTTTGAATAAATATGAAAAGTGGAAACCACACGTCAAGAAATCCCACACTGTTCCATGCATCCTATATAGCTCAAAAATTCAGCAGCAATGTACTAGGTGAGAGTAAAGCCGTGTACTATACTCGAGTAAGCCTTTAGCAAATGGGTGCTTCTCGTGTTGTAAACAATGTGTTACTGATAAAAGCACTAAGTACACAACTACATAGGGGAGAATTTTAACCCATGTTAATTTATTTCAAATATATTTTTAAACCACACAAATGAACTTTCAGATAAGTATCAGCCTCTTTCTACCCCTATCAGAAAAATAAAACCTACTTCATCCATAAATTCAAATTGTTTTCCTACTTTATATAAAACATGGAAAAAAAAAAAAAAAAGCTGTTCCCATGGAAATAGTTCTAGAAGATTGCTGCTTATAAAAACAAGGAATATTTGCTATCAAAACCTACTGAATTTTTAATATTCATACTAATTTCAACTCCTCATCTCTATGTATCTCAACAGAGACAGTACAACAGAAGTACAATTAGGTTAGAGAACGTTGTCTGTTGAAATAAAGATGTTACCTGTAACTTAGGATCAGATTGCTTTATCAAAATGGTAAGAAAAATGAAAGATTACCAGAGTATCAGTAACCTATTTTACACCTACACATTTTTTTAAAAAGCACAGGTATAAGAACATAGGGTATAAGAATTAATTATTTTAGAAAAGTGACATTCAGCCTCAACCACCTGACACTTCTTGCATACTCAGTCATAAGTAGCCTCTTTGTGTACACTCAAGGTAAAAACTTCAGTATTGGTAAGAAACCTAAAAAAATATTATTTGAAAGGAAATTGGTGACCAGTGAGGTGAAGTACCTAATGATGGATCCAGGGCTATAAATCCTTACTAACAAATATAACCACTTCATACCTCAGGAGCAGTCTCTACCCATTTCATTTAAATTGAAATAAGTGGGTTCTAAAAGAGCAGATGGAAGATTAGTCAGATTACAGACAATACATAGCCATGTCTTAAAGTTACTATGTAATTAAGCTCAACTATCATCACGGCACTTATGTATATCCAATGGTGCCTGCATTTGGGAAAACTATATCTCTCCATAAAGTACTTTGCATACTTCAGGTATTAATAATACATGGCTCGCCTTGATTTTAAAAAATGAGCTGTTGTGTATCTGCAGAAGAATGTTTCTGCTTTATTTTTATTCTTTCTTTGAACTTCAATTTTGAAGGGAAACGCCCCTTCACACGCACATACATTTTTCACATCTTTTTGCATTCATTCAGCATTTGATTGAAGAGTTAATTCAGCTCCACTGAACAATGATAGATGTAATGAACAGAAAGGTCTTCCAATGTGAGAGATATTCTTCTCAATTCTTTCTGACAGGCAAGGGATGGTAAATAGACAAAACAGAGTCAAGCTAGGCAGCAAACTTGTAAAAAGAATGACTCTGGTAATGTACAAGGACAGCATGCACATCAATGAATACTTACATAAATGTCTGCACCATAAAATCCATCCTGGTATACAACACTGCAAGGATGCACACACAAAGAAAAACATCCATATTAGTGCATTTCCACATGCAAATGCCACCAACCCCTGCACAGCTGAGGTTAGTCTTGTCACAAGAACAGAGGGAGGGGGGAAGGAAGGCACTCTTCACATTGGTTAAGGAGGTTGGTAGTAACTGTCAGAACTGACACTGTGCCAAATACGTATTATAGAATCATGGAATGGTTTGGGTTGGAAGGGACCTTAAAGACCATGTAGTTCCACCCCCCCTGCCATGGGCAGGGACACCTTCCACTAGTCCAGGTACCACTAGAACAGTACCTAGACCAGGTACCATAATAAAGTATGCCAAAACTTAGATAGGCAAAGCTTGGCAGGATCGGAAAATACTTTTGATAAGGTTTTGGGGTTTTTTTGTGGTGTTGTTTTTTTCATTTTTGTCTGGTTGGTTGGTTGTTGGTTGGTTTTTTAGTAAACTATATATTGGCAGCATTTTTTTCTATAAAAATAATTTTCAGTGTACCAATGCTACGATCAGTTTTAATATATAAACGAAACACTATCTCTTGAACTAATACTTGTCCTGCAATTATATTTACCCTCCAAAACAAAGTGGTAGTTAACATTACTTAGATGAAAAACAAAACAAAGCATAAATTTATATGGTGAGGGGAATGTGCAAAATAACTATGCTGGTGGTATTCTACCCATTGGGTCAAATCTCAATACGTCAGTTTACACAGAGATGAGAGTATTCATAGGTACTGCACTGTTGGCTTAACACACATTTTTGATATTGATAACAGGTCTGTTCAGAATGTCATTGTGTCATTAAAAAAAAAAAAGTATTAAGCTTCTTCAATCTATCATTTTACAACTTTGGTGGAAATGCCTACAGTTGTGAGCTCCCCTGAAGTTTTGGTTGGACACATTACTACTTCTAATCTGAAAAAATATAGTATTATTAGATTACTGTTACCAGTTTACCCAGAGACTGATGCATTTCAGCTAAGACAAATCGTCAGTGTAAATAGATCAAATTTGAGATTCTACACCCTTCAGGATAAATGATACAGTATGACAAATATGCTTTGAATGATGCACTAAATAAAATTAGAACTACACAGCAGTGACCTACCAATTACACATATTGCCTAAGTACTGCAATTTTACACTCATTTGGCAGTTCTGCAGCTTAAAATAGGTATTTCCAGCATCAGAATGAACCCAAGCTGTTTTGAGAGCTAAATATCAGAGCACACAATAGGGTTTTTTCCAATATTATTTTCAATTTATAAATACTATTATCTGGGAATAATAGTTATTACAAAATTGCTAACCCAAGCTGTTTTGCAATTCCAACAAGAATTTTCATGTCAGAAATATAAATGATCTATTGAGGTCAATGACCAAAACCCACAGGGCTGAGCTGGTATGTGTCTAAGTCAGAATCACTTGAAAAAATCATAAATACGCATACATGCACACAGAACACACTGGTGATAAAAGTTTGCTATGAAATAATAATGGGTCAAAACTCGGCTCCACTTAAATCAGAGTGTCTGCCATTTGCTTCAGTAAGGCCAGACCTTTACTCAACTATTTTTCTATTTATTACCTCTGCAGAGCAAAATATGCCAAACCAAAAATATGCCATACAAGGGCAGCTTTCAGAGAGTTTGTCATTTACACAGTAGCGTACCTTCATTTTGGGTTTGATATTCTGATAATTTTCAAGTATTACATTTTTCTTATACCTGTTTACAGGTAAGAAATAAAACATTCCACATGACTGTGAGGTAGAAGTACACAATCATGAACAACGTGGGAGGAGTTTTATGAGATGGTACACAAGTGATACAAAGTTTACTGAAGATGGAGGCCAGACCACCACAACCCTCCGTTCCTCATATCCCTGCACCACCTTGTTATCTGGGAGGAGGTGGAGGAGTTGGGAATGAAATGCAGCCTGGGAAGAAAGGGTGGGGAAGGGAGGACGGTGTTTTAGGTTCAGTCTTTGTTTCTAATCATCCAACTGTATTTTAATAGGCAATAAATTAAAATAATTTTCAAGTCAAGTCTGTTTTGCCTCTGATGGTCATTGGTAAGCGATTTTCTTGGTTTTATCTTAACCCAAGAGCTTTTCCATCTCACTTTCTCCCAATATACTCTTGAGGAAGGAAAATGAGGACGGTGAAGGTGTGGCATGGCACCCCGCCACAGTACAGTAAAACATACTACTTTCAATTTTTATTAAACATTGCTATTCAGAAAATAACATTTTGAGAGAATACGTGTCAGAAAGAGGATCTTTTTTCTTCCTCTTCTTGGTGAACTGTGGATCTACAGTGAAGATATCACAAAATGAATAGGATGATACTCTGAATTCCCAAGTGAGTGGGTCGTAATCTTGGACAGGTTACTTCAGTCACCTAGGCCTTCCTTTTATATATAATGCTCAGTCATGTACAGACAGAAACTTATTTTGAATTCTTAATATGCCAGTGTTTGATAAATATTATACTGAAGTAAGTACCAAACACTAAAATGAGACATGAATGCATGACTCTGTCATTAAACATGGTTAGTCTTAGGATGAAGTGACAGAATCAAGCAAATGATGAAAACATACCAGTTGATTTTATGTTATTTTCTCCTTATGTTCTATATTTACTGTATAGTCTTAGAGTATGATGGTGACGTTGAATATAAAACTTCCTGCCTCTTATAAAGTTTGAAATATTTTTTCATATTTTCATAGATTTTCAGAGCATATTTTCCATTCACTGTCACTGGTTGACTCCTGTAACAGAATCTTAGCAGTGGAGTCAAATGTTTTTTCTAACAGCAGCCTTCCTCAGAAGGACAAAGTGTAAAACACCAAGAGCTATGTTTTGCTCTTGTGCTTTTCTTTCTTTCAGTGTATAATTTTCCAAAGGGTAGTCTGCTTGTTTTATCTACCCTTTTCCTCTGAAGCTGTAGACAGAAAACAGATGATAAGTCTCAAGCATGGGGAGAGACTAAATACATCACACAGGGACACATCTCACCATAGCTCCTTTTACAGTTTGTATTCAAAAAGTTTTCTTGGCAGACAGAAAAATCTTGAGTTCTTCGTAAACCAGCACAGGGTCCGGAAATAGCCCCGTTACTGAAATCTGAATTACTTCACCCACGAATGGATGATAGGTTAATGCACTACCTGAAGGCATTAAAATAAGAACAACACATTTGGGGGATTTATTCAGTTGCATTTTATGATTTTATAGTGATAAGGAAAAATCAGAGAAGAGAGAAATCTTGATTTAATAAGAAAATGTATATTTAAATAACATCATATGTGGCAATCGTTTCCTGAAATTATTTTTCTATAAATATGAAACTGTTCTCTCGCCAACTATTATACATCTGCTTTGCATGATTTTAACTGCTTTATTTTAGTCTCTATGTCTTATTTTCATTTTTTGTAACTATATTAAGACAAACCCTTAATTAGTTTAGATTCCATACTTATAATATCCTGGGAGGACTACATCTGTCTTCATTATAATTTTTTTATCCTTATCTTTCAAAAGATTGGGTTGAATAATCTATCAATGACAGAAGACAGTTCTTGACTGCACAAACCTTAGTTCAGTAACTTCACAGGAGCTGAGTATACGTGGCCCTCAGTCATACACACAACTGCTCAAGTTAACATAAGTAACTTAAGGCAGATTAAGTGCATGGAGTGATTGATTCAGTGTAACAAACGGGCATGACAATCATGATTTCATTCATTGCAATAGGAATCATGGTTAGAGTTTGCTAGTCCCCCTCCACCACAACTAAGGGAAAGCACCTGAGGAACAAAAGTTCTCAGTTTTCTGCTTGCTGCTGGGTCGCCTTCATGTCCTACACATATCTTTTGGTCTCGGAAATTACAGTATACCTTTTATATGAAACCTTTTATAAGAAGTTTACATGAAACAAATAACAGAAGACATGTAATCACAACTTTACTTAAGATAAACCAAATAAAAGACTGAGAATTCAAGTAACATCTTTCAACACTCTAATAACACAACTTTCATTGTTGTAAATACAGAACTGAAACTCTTGTATGAGGCTGTTTCAACTTTTTAGAATGTTCTCTAGCCTTTCCAGTTTCAACTTTTTCTGCCATGAACAAGTTACACTATCTACTCTGGAAAATTAATTGAGGGCATTGCTGCAGAGAACAAAGCTGGAAGACACAAATTACTATGTGCTGGCAAAACACATTTTTTGTTTTAACAATTGCACATAAAGCCCAGAGTCTGAAGTAAGAGGAAGTTTCTTTGAGACCAAGGAAATGTATTTAAAAAAACCATAAACACCATAATAGATGTAGTAGCTTATATTAATTATCTGTCTTTCTTAAATTCAGAATAAAGTGTTGGAAAATAAAGCTTTTTTTTGATTTTGAATATTTTAGAATGTATCACTTCAACACAATTATTTTAACAAAGGGGAACAGTTTATGAATAGTGTGTCTTACGTCCACCCTTCCCAACTTCTCCCTTTTATAAAGGTTTGGTTGGTTGGCTTAATTTTATTCTTTTGAAAGAGAGGAAAGCATATTGCTATCCCCTGTTCCCAAAGCTAAGACACCAGAAGTGGACATATGGACTGAAAGTTAGTTCTCTGTTAGCCTCAGTAGAATTGGAAGGAGTGGAGGGGAAATGTGAAGACCAAATCATCACACATTAAACTTGTGAAAAGCTTGAGGCAAATGATGCTGGAATAGAAGGGCTTCTCAGTTTTAGTTGCTATACTACCAGATATACAGTAATGCTGGTTTCTCTTGAGAGCCGAAGAAAAATGGCGTATCATACTCATGATGTTTTAATATTTGGCAAATGATTTTTCAAGAATGATGAGCTACTAGTTGCTGCAGAGTTCAAAAGCAATTACAGGTATCAATATCAGATCACTGTTTTTTGGTAGCATGCCAAAGAGAAGAAAAACTGCTTCTTTCTCCTTTGTTTTGGCAATGCAAGTACTGCCAACTGCATCTAAAACCTGTCATGAGTACCTTTACCAATAACTTCAGCTTTATTAGGACATTTCTTACACCATTAGTGTGCACTCTGTCAATAAAACAGATAATCTTAGAAAGACACAGGTCAAGCCAAGAAATATTTTTTTTTTTTTTTTTTTACATCAATGCAATTATTTTGTACAAAACACTATTTAGTACCCAGAGAGAAGCCTGCAAGAAAGGTCAAAGAAGCAGTAAGCCCAAATCCTCCCACATGGAAGCAGTCCCAAGAGAGAGTTTATGAAAGGATTTTAATCAGCTTAAAATACTAACAGATTTGCCCCTCATCCAAAGTACCAATCTTGCTGCGAAGTTCCCAGAGAGCCCTCTGAGATAAGCAGGCAAGAGCTCATAGATCCACAGCTACGCCCTCCCATCCTGACAGGCTCTGATCTCCCTGCACCTCTCGTGCCGTACACAACACGACCATCTCTTGCTTCTCTTGCTCATGCAGCACAATGTTGAAGCTAAGCTCTCCATGTAATGTAGATCTCCAAACTCTTAAAGTTTCTGTACTCATTTTTTTCACACAAATGAAGCTTTACTCTGTCCTTTCAGTTTCAGTAGGTTTTTTTATAGTACATAAATGAGTTATACACATGACGTTGTAAGTAACCTGCACATTGTAGTATTTCAAGGCATTAGAAATGATGCCACAGATGCTAAAAATGAAGCATTTTCCATGAGCTAATAAACAAGAAACTATCTCAAGGAATCAGTGAAATGCCTCAGTCCCAAGAAAAGGATCCATTAATTATTTATGCAGTGCTACATATCTCATAAACACTGATTTAATTTTTAAATGACACATCTTAAAGCATGCGTGCTTTCCTTGATTTAAAAGAAAACAATGGTCTTAAATATGGCTATATTCAACAATTTTCCTGTGACCTAGCCAAGTATGACAGATTTACTGTTTCCAGCACAGCAGAAGAGAGCTTGCCAATATGAATCACACCAACTTTTCTTGCCTAATGGCCACAAGATCTTTTAGACTTCCTTACAGCCTGGGATGTGCTGCCATTTCTTAACTTTGTTGATAAACAGTTTCTAAGAAAAGGACACAGTCAGTGTCCAACAGGACACCAGTGAACAACTACAGGTTGAAGAGAGACTGCTTTTAGAAAGATGGTTTTTATTATAGAACCAGGAATCCTAAGACAGTGGTACTGAGATAAACACTAGTAAGTAGCATGTGAGACTAGTCTAAGAAAAACCTGTTCTTAGCTTTACAGTTAATTTTCAAATTTCAAACACAATTATTCAGTTTCAGTTCCAAAAATTTGTAATAGAAACAAGTAAGAGTGAAGAAGATTATTTCAGATCAAGTATTATATTTTATTTCAGTTATAAGATTTCTAAGGTTAACGAAACAAAAGAAAATGAAAAAGGTAATTTCAAACTTCAGCTTCAAACTTTACATTTAGGTATGTGTTTAAAAAAAGAAAAGTCATATTTTTCTAACTAAATATTGTGGGAATTCAGTGTAAATTTATTTAAAGTTTATAATATAAAGTTATATGTGTCATTATACAAAATAAATGCCTTTTTTTTAATGATTGAAAGTATTTTACTATGCTTGCTTGGCTCTAAGACTGGGCTCCATCCTTGAGTGAAAAATGAGAAATTGCTATTAAATGAATTGTAAAATAGCACTCAAAGCTTTTTCAATTTTGCTTATCAACAAATGATATTCCAAGTTGTTTGCTTTCTTCTGTAAGTTGATTCATTCTCTGTGATCTCTGTATTATCGCTGTAATTTTCCTTGACTCCTACTCCCATTGTGACTGAAAACCACAGTCTTATAATTTATTCTCATTGATTAAGGATTTTTTCTGATGAAAATTCCTTTTTGCTTCTTTGATAGGTCTGAGTACCTAATGGGTAAGCACAGAACAAAGCATTGAAAAGAAATTCCAAATTGTGCTATTGTATCAGTGAATTTACTAGCATAAGATCTAAAATACTAGGCCAAAGAAATTATTTCAGAATAAAGCTTAACCCAACTGCAGATCAGTGCAATGGAGGTAGGTATTATTTCTGCACTTATCCGTGAATTAAAAAGTTGCAAATTTTTTATGTGCATTGGAAAGCAATGCCTTATTATAAAGGTGGATATAGAAAATTAAAACTGACTAATATCTGAACTAAGACCTATATAACTTAAGAGAAAGCTTATCAAGTGAAAACTTTTGCAGCGTAAAATTGTGTTAGAAAACATAACTGACTGGAAGGTGAGCCCTAGATTACTAAGGGTTCATCTCAGACAGCTGGAAGTCATCAGAACAATGAGATGTGACTTCGCACGATGCAATGCGTGGCTCCCTCTGAAGGCAGCTTTAACAACAGGTCATGAAGGTAGTAGGTGAGATCTGTCCAACCTAACTGTCAAACCATCCTGCAGAAGAACGTGAGTGCTCAGCTGACCTCTTGGGATCCAGTGCTGAACCTCACTACAGTGCAAAACTTCACCATTAACTTAAAACAGGAGTTCACAACCCCTACACATCTAACTTGCTACTTAAACATGCTGAAAATAAGCACTGCAATTACATGAGAATATGTATGTATTATGTATGGAAATTTAATTTGTCCTGCTGAGTCACTGTACTAACGAAACTATAAAAATTTATATAACACAGACACACACAGAGCACCTGCATGTGGCCCCTTAAATTAAAGCAAATTTAAGTTACTTACTTGTCTGAAAGTTTTTACTCATTTTGCATATACTAACAAGTCAGTATTGTCCAACTCAAAAATTGTATCACAAATAGCTGGTATATATTTTTTTTATATTACTTTGTGACTTCATATTAAACTAAGGTATTATGTTTGTGACAGTGTAATAACCCACGTTGTTATCTTGCTTCATATTGCACTCTGTGTTCAAATTTAAGAACTTCTTTTTAAACGAAGTAGAGATGGGAAGAGTCCACTTTCTTTATAGGCAGTATCCATTGTGTAGCTGAGTCATTCATATTGGAACTGGCTCTTGAAGGGCATTCTAAACTTGTTACCATCATTGCCATGTACAAATACCTGGACTAACTCGACAGGAGAGTTTGGGCAACAGTAGGATAGCTTTGGTTAGACACCATCCTTGTCCAAAGGCAACTCAGGCAAAGTTCAATAACCATGGTGTCTTTGCCCAGTAGTGACAAATTTGCTTATTGAATTAATATTATTTTGCTATTAAACTACATGAAACAAATAAAATACATTTTTACAAAATAAACTGATTCTGTGGCATAATTTTTATATTCATTTTTAGAACATTTTCATTCTCTGAGGTGATAATTGCCCAGTGTGAAGGAATGGCCAAACTGCCTGTTGTAAATATCCCTGAAAATACAGTTCAATGGCCGACTGACCAAATTTGCAAACCTGTCTAGAAAAAGACATGTCTTTTGGCTTAACAGGACAAAGGCTTCAAGAGAAACTGAGTGAACTAGTGATGGGCACCCATCTTGTACCATAACGGAGAAGGAGGACAGGGTCGGAGCACAATCTTGCCCTGCAAGCTCCCTTACAAGGGGATATCCACAGTGAGACCAGATGAGCTGAGGAACAGGACTTTAGTGAGGGCAGAGAGAGAGAGATCACCTTCAACCAAAACTTTGCAAACCCTGCCTGACCCATTCTCAGAAAGGACTGGTAGCTCTACAGGAAAGTAGCAGCATATATATCACAAATGTTTGACAACTATAAAAAATATTTTATTATTCTGGCCTGGGATCTGTCAAGTGGTCTGATTTTCTAAGCCTCCCAATTTCTTAATTGTTGAAAATTTTTTGACAATGTTAGAACTTGTAAATATCTTATGTAGCATACAAAATCTTTCTGTGTCAGCATTTACAGAGCTACAAGGAGAATTTGTTTCTTCCTTCGTTCCCTCAAAACCACACCTCTAAAACTGTATATATGTATCTTCTCAATTAACAGATTATTGAAATTCTACAAATTATTACTATGGATTTCTCCAATTCATTCCTTAGTATTCTACTTGGGTTTAGTAAATGTAGGTCACTGATGGTAAGATCTTAAGGTATTATTTAAGCAAACATACTGAGAAACACATGATCCTGAGTTTCTATCCTCAAGTACCCCAAGCAGCACCCCAAGTTTCTATCATGGTAAAAATGTCCACTGGGATAACTAAACAAGCTGCAATAAAAAACCCCAAACTATTACACCACTAAGCCTTCAGGTCCAGAGCCAACATTCAGTGGATGATTGAAGAAAAAGAAGTTAACTTGATCCAACCTCCTTAATAACCAGATGTTTGCAATCATCAAAAATATATCTTTAGCTGAAACAATTTCTCTATTCCAAAGCATTCAGTTTCTAAGAACATTTACATAACAATATGTGACATCTGAAATGCTTAAGGCCACCAACCATGGCAGTACAAATTACAGTCATTTTTCAATACTCCGTGCAAGGTGCACCACTTCCAGCACTGGGATTGGTTGCATGCTGTGTTGGTTTCTGCGGTGAGACACGATCAGCATGCACCACAGTCACAAACAATTTGTAGCCTTTGGAGATTCATGCTAATACGTAAAAGAGGCTGATCTCCTTACCCGCCGTAGGCTGGAATTGGAGGGGGGGGTGCTGCTGCACGAAACGTGTTGTACACCGTGCGACCTCGGCCTCTTAGATGTGCACCTCTGTAAGCAGCAGCTGCAGTTGCAGCAGGGTAGGGGAATCCTGGCACTGTGGGGGGGAAAAAAAAAAAAAAAAAGAATGGATGTAAAATATTCAAGTCAACCTAGAATTTTAAAACACAAGTAACGTAGCAGCATGATTGTGCTTATGTTAAAGCTTGCCTGTAACTAGATGAGGGAGTTGCCGAACAAGTAAATTATTAGTCTTTTAACTAGAGGTCTCCTATTTTTACACAAAATCTTTTATGCAAGCAGGAGACAGAAAGCTGGGAATTTAGATGGCAGTATCATAGGTGGCTCTGATTCTCTAAGACACTTTTATAAATAATGTTGACTGTTATAGACAACACTGTTAACAGAAGACTCTTGAGGTCCAAGTCACCATTTCAGGCTCAAATTCACAATGTCAGTGGCATTTCCATCACATTATTGGATCTGTCTCCAAAAATCAGATTTTACCAATTTACAGAGCTTTATTTTTGCTTGTGTGTTGATTATTAACTGTGTCTTAATTGTGTGCCAAGGGAAAGAAAGACAGAGCAAGAGTTTTCTCAGATTTTGGGGATGTACACTGTTCAGTGTACAGTATCCATTACTTCTTCAAAGGCAAGAGTTTCATAATTTGGAAATATCTACACAAATTCAGATACTATTCAGACCCAATAGAAACAATTTACACATACAAAAAAGAAATCAATTCAGACATTTTTATATTATCATTGCAGCAAAATGTAAACATTAAGTACCATTCAATGTTAGACTTAAAATATTTTAAACAGAAATTGAAAAATAATACAGTATTAAAAGGGTTTTGTATCTGTAAAATGTCTGTGAAAATCTCTTCATAAACTTTTTAATTGTAAATTATAAATGAAACTTTCCACTTTACTTTCTCTGTTAGATTTTTAGCCAATACTTCATGACTTCATTTCTCCTTCGTACATATATAGCTGGCCAGTGTTAGAACATGTATTTTTGGATTTATTTCATCAGTGAGACAGAGAAAATCAAATCCAGCTCTGTTGGCACTCAGGTTACGTCAGTTGTGCTTCACTGTGTTGAATTTTTTTCAAACAGATAAAAGAAATAAAGGTTGCTTAGCAAAGCCCTAATAAGAAGCAAGCAAACAGAAGTAATCATGTATAAACCAGTAAGTTTTTCAAGTCTGAAATACAAATAGATTTCAATCCACATTTGTCTTTCACCTGTTTTAGCACTAAGTTTTAAAAGATGCCTTGAATTTGAAAAAGAAAACGAAAAGTTCACAACTTGCAGCTGGCTGAAAGGATGAAGGAAAATACAGTAATTATGCAGTAATTCTCCAATACTGCCTTACCACTGTGGCTTTTGGGCTTTCTTAAGTCCTTTCAACTGACAAAAAGTTATTCTGCAAAGATTTACATGCCTGTGATACAATATAAAACAACCTTATGACAATACAATTAAAATAGTCTTTTAAAAAGTACAAACACCATATTTGTATTCCTCTTGCCGTAAACTAACGTGTCAAAATCAGAATGATGAACAAACAGAATTCAATACACTGTTGATAATTTTGCAATCAGCTGTATTTAAAAGACAAATAGAATCATGGAAGGCATTTTTTTTAGGAGAAAAAATAAACATATATATCGTATACTTGGAAATCTGGACACCAAGTACTTTTGCATATACAAGAACATTGAATGTTGAACAGTATAAATACAGCAGCGCTAGAATCATGACCTACTGCTCATATCATGTAACTTTTTTCCTTTTCTTTCCCAAGTATACAGTCTTGCATACAAAGTAGTTCAACATGCATATGAAAATGTAAATGATAACTTTTAGTGGACTGAAGATATAAGCAAACATTACAGTAAAAAGATCTACAGCTTGTGCCATAGTTCCTCTGATAGAGTGGGCTGTCCCCCCATCCTAACAGATAAATAAGAAGTACAATGCTCCAATAAAATTTCATAGATGGAAGTTAGAAGCATATGACAAAAAACACAAGGGTCGGACATCATGGTACTGTTGTTCACTTCTGTCCCTTGGAGAATATATTTGTGAATGCCACATGCTGGAGACTTCCTGCTGGCTTAAATCAGGTGATGCTCACAATGCGCATGTTAAAGTGCCACTCATAGTAATTATTATCATCTCTGTTACTTCTGTAAGTGCACTAGTATGCTTCAGCATGGAAAAGAAGTGACTGTAGAAGCTGCCAAATTTATCTTTGTTATCAGAGTGAAGTTTAGCATGTCTGCCTTCCTTAGAAGAATGACTCTTTTCCACCTACTAGATGGTAACTTCTAGAAGTATGTTTCTCCAATAATTTCAGAGTTAATTTGTGACTTGTTTTAAAATAATGCAAATAAATAAATAAATAGAATAATAAAAAAAACCCCAAAACCAAAACAACAACAACAAAAAAAACCAACCCCAAAATCCAACAAAACAGTGCTGAGAAGAGTTTCCTTAAGCAAAAGGGGAAAAATGGACTTGAGAATCTGGTCAGGAAAGACTGGTATCTGAAATGGTGGATATCTTAAATGAGAAACGTGAAGGTTGGTAGTCTGTAGCTAGCTTTAAAAAAACCCTTAGTCTTTAGGGACACTCAAACTTCCAAGATTAAGGGAAATTTCTCTGACATAAAAGCCAGTGACAAACAACTAATGAAATACGACAATCTTTGAGCAGTACGGACAACTTCTTCATTTATATGTGCATCTGTAGTTCTCTACATATTGATAGAAAACCCACTTTTACAAGAAGCACAGAAGGAGTGGCAAAGAAAACAAAACCAATTCAAAAAAGCCTAAGCTCAAGCAATGTAACGTATCTAACAAAGTTGTGGGTTTGCAGTAGAGTGTCTAGAAACTCCGGCTCTAAGGGCTGTTTCTGCATTTAATTCTTTGCAATTAACATCTACATTTAGCAATATTTAAAGCAGTTGAATAGTCTTCTTTCAGTGAAACACTCAGCGTTCTAGGCAATCTTTCTGCTATGAAATGTAATGTCTGAAATTAACTCACCATACAGCCACACACTTTATACAGGTGTGTGAAGAATGCACGTATCTCTTGATTTTTAGAAGAATTTAGTAAATATAGGTCTAATGAAAACTTACTAGAATTGTGCAGAAATTATATGGGAGACTGAGCATAGCAGAGTTCTGTGAAAGCATGAACTCAGGAAGTGTTTTGAGAACAATTTTTCCTTTGAATTGTACCACTCAATTCAGCTTTCGTACAGACATTTTAACATAAATATTTTTCAACAATTGAGGATTTATCCTAAATACCCTTTAAAGTTCACGGTGGTCACACTTTGGAAAGAATTACAAGAAGGGCCACTAACCTTAAATCTTTGACAGTGAATGGCTCTCTACAAAGAAATGTCACTGGAAAAGCAGTGTGCCCCATCAATGACTGAGTAAAAAAGAACAGAAAATATTTTTAAAAATATTAAATTTTTATGAGGAAGAAAGCTTTCTCTATGAAAGAGGAGAATAAAAAAAAATAGAAGATAGAGATAGCAGGAAGAGTCACTTAGCCCATAAGTGTTTACCAAATCCAAAACACACCATGGAGGCTCAGCATTCATGGGAGATACAAAGACAAGACAGTGATTTCTACCATTTTCAAAGGATCTGCAACACAAAGGATGTGTTACAATGAAAAGCCTTAAGTAATTTAGTTGTTTTACTATGCTTGCCTTGCATTGTCTCCTAAATAAACTCACCAAATGTCTAGAGTAAAGCAAAACTCTGAAAAAGCTTGTAGAAGCAATTAGTAGAAGGTAGAGCAACGATTTGGAGTTCTGTCAGAAATAAGTTAAGACATGATGGAAACTAAGCATGAGAAATATGGAACTAACAATGGCATTGCAAGGTCTATGATCAAGTGAGGTCTAACAGTAGAGGTCATATATTAAAGTTATATCCGTTACCCCAAAAAATTATTTGGGTCAGTCTGAAAATCAGAGTACCTGTAAACATGTCTTCTATTTCCAAGTAGCAATATTAAAGATTAAGATTAGAAGTAAAATAATCAACAAGATCATGTCTCCCTAGAATTGGGATCAGCAAAACAATTACACTACTTCAGCCCAGCTGAGAAATCATACTGTTAGGAATATCTAATAACCACAAAATTTATTTTGCTACCAACTTTTTAATATCCTCACCCCAAAATAACCAGCAGAAGTGGCATCATTAGAACATAACTGAAGAATGGACTTCATAAAAACAATTTTATGAAAAGGGCTCTCCCACCAGGAAGCATTAAGTGCTATTAAGCAGCCCCCAAAGTAATGAATGTACTAGCCAGAAGAAGTAAGGAATTTAATGACTTGAGTTTGTAGGTCAACCTTCTTTAGTGCCTCAGTGCCAAATTGCTGAAACTCAGTCTGTGAAAATACTACTGTAATGGGGTGCACACTGTGTTTGACTCTCACCAGGGAAGCATCTGAGTCCACTTCTACGCAAAAGTACCTTAAATTTATCAAAGTAATTTGATGACTGGAATTCTTCTGATCTGCAATAGAGAAAAGGCAGATTTCTCCAAATACACACTGATGATAGGAGGCTAATATGAGGTTAAAAAAAAAAAAAAAAAGACTTTTCTAAGGAATATGTATTATCAAATATCAAGTCAAAGAAATAATTTAGATTCTCATCTAATAGCCCCATCAACTCGTCCTATAGTTATTTATTCAGCTGTTCAAATATGAATGAGATTAAAATGGAAACAAGAAAAAAATCAGTTCCTACTGCTCTTTTACTTTTTCAAATTTAAAAAAGAAGAGTGAAAACATTATGCTGTTGAAGTGCATGGCTTTGCTTTATGTAACTCTCCAAAAACATACAAATCATCTTGTACTGCAGCCTAAATGAAATATCTTTTAGGAACAATATGTTGGTGAAACTACTTTTTAAAAATTCCTTCCTTAATTTTGTTCTATTTTTATATTTAAGAGAGTAAAATAATTTTCTTTAAAAAGTATTATTAAAATGACTATTGTCAAAAAATGTCTCCCTTCTTTATACACTTTGTAAACATGCGA